TTGCTGGTGGAGCCCACTGTCATAGAACAGCAAATGCTCCCTAGTTCTTCTTAAGGATCATACTAACTTGCAAAATTATAATGAGGTGGGGATAGTATTTTTATGGCTTTGGGTAGGGAGACCCTTTCGATAGAGGTGGACAAGGTGTTTCTTGGCTTGGAGTGTATCTAGAAGAGAAATCATTCTGCCAAGAGCAAGACATCACTGATACTACGAGGTTCCTCCATGCACAAAACTGTGAAAAAGAAATGATACTGAGTGTGGAGTCACGTGTGCGTGTGTATGCACGTGTGTATGCACACACATCTTTGTCTTTTTTTCTCGACTTCGCAAGAGCGGTATATGTGCAGACGCTAACCTACATACACACGCACACACATCTTTGTCTTTTTTTCTCGACTTCGCAAGAGCGGTATATGTGCAGACGCTAACCTAAATCTTGCTCAGTCTGCGCTCTTGTTTACCCAACTGTTTTACTTTTCTTGGGTGCCAGCTTGGGTGTTCCTCCCATCTATACTTTCTCCTTCTCTGGACATGTTTGGGGAAATTCAACAGAGCAACGGGCTGCCCATTTTCTGTCCTGTAAAATGAAGCAACATTAAAAAACCCAGCCACAAATGTCTGTTTAGTAATTCTTGATGGCTTCCTTAAGACTGAATTTTAGTATTTCTCAATATCCAATGCCTGGAAGCTATCTCAAAGCTGCTCTCTAAAACTGCCAGAAATTGACTTCCTGCAGTTTTGAATGTGAAAGCGAGAACATGATTTTGGGACAGTCTCATTTCTCCTTTTGAGAGGTATCACTTTGGTGGGCCCTCTCCGTCATGCTTTCTTATAGTGAATGACTACTCCCTGCCCTTGAGGTAGCCTAGGACTTGATAGAAATAATCTAAAAGCAAATACTCTATAATGGAATATTAAGTATTCTGTGTAATTATATAAAAGCTGTCCCAAGATGTCCTGTGGGGAACATCTTTACAGATTTTTTTTCCCCTTTCATGAAGTGGCTAGGCTGTCCCCAGGCAGGTCTGGAAACAGGATTTGAGCATAGTGATGCTTCTGGGACAGAAGGAGCAAAGATATGGGAGAAGAGTTCACTCTGGGGGACAAGTCTGAGCACATCAATTCTGACAGTCAGGCTAATGTTTGATGTCTATTTCCAGGAAAGATAAAAGACTTGCCATTGAGCCATTGTTTAATTAGTTTACCCATGTCCTTGGCTGTTCTCTATGTACTGTTAAATATTTTAAAGTTTCATTTCTAGTTGACGCATACTAACTGTATATAACTGTGGAGTACAGTGCGATGTTTTATGTAGTGATCAAATCAAAATAGTGGCCTTAAACATTAGGCTTTACTCTGTGGTGAGAACATACAAGATCCTGTCTGCTAGCTGTTTTGAAATACACATTATTATAACTATAGTCATCCCCCTGTGCTGTAGAACACCAGAACGTATAACTCGCTTCTAACTATAGTATCTGTTGATCAACCTCTCCCCATCCTTCCTCACTGCACCCTCCCCAGCTGGAAAGTTTCCGCTACAGTGGAATGGTGAATCAAGGGGCAACCGCTTTTCCATGGTGATGCAAGCTCAATCTTTGCCTTTTTCACTGTGACTTCAGGGGCAGTTGATTCTGATCGGTTCCAGCTTCCCAAAAGGAATCAGATGCAAATTTCATTAGTCAGAACTCTATGTTGCAGGTGGCAGAAACCCCAAAGCATAACTGGCAGTTTAGAAGGGGGCACCTTTATTCCCTCAGCTTCTCGTAATGAAGAAAGATTTTCTTTACATGGTAGGTTCAATATCCCTTGACTTCATGGCCTCTTAGCTTTTTTTACTGTGGTGGTTCTAAATAGAAATATTCATGGAAGAAATCTCAGTGCAAATTATATCCCCCATCCATCCAATCACTATGAGAAAAGGAGAATTATGATTGGTCTGATTTGGGTCATGTGCTCACTTATGTGGCCAGAAATGTGAATTACTGTAGCATTTGGACCATTGCCATTTCAGAATATACATGCCTGCTTTTCAACTGTCAGCTCTCACAACCCTGGATGAAAATGCTTATGACTTCTAGGGGTGATACTGCCTGTAGACGTAGGAGGTTGCAAGTGCTGAGGAATTGATATCTCCTTGGAGCAGCTGTCCACCAATGATCAAGGGGAACTATCATGGAAATCCAAAGGGGCTCCAGTCTTAACCTCATGTACCAGAGTGGGATTCAACTTCAGTTCACCGCAATTGCCTGTTGCTTGGCACCATACTCTATTTGCTTATTTTTCTTCCATGTCTTATTCTCCCACCTTTTTGCTTCATTTCTTAAGACAATTTCCCAAATATGCTTTTACGCTTGAGACCTTATCTTAGTGATTTCTGAGAGAACACAGAAATGAGAGAGTTATCATGACTGGCAGCTTGTCACATGACTCAAATGGAGACAAAGCAGTATATTAAAGGAATTGATTGTTCGGAATATACAGAAATAGTAGTGACCCACTGAAAACTATACCACACACATACAACAAACATACACAGAACAGCAAACGGCGAGAACTTATAATAAACCACTTCCCACTGGACTAACTTTAGGACAGAAATATTCCTGCCTTGATGTTCCCAATGGGAGCAGACAAAACCCCCAGCAGGTTGGCTCAGGTGAGGAAATGTCAAGGCATCCCAGAGTGAAAACCACACTTTTCTGCCACTACTTCGTTAATCCAAGGTCTCTGCTACCCCAGCTGAATGTCAGCCAAAAAGCCATCATGGCAGAAGGATGTTTCTGCCCCTTTTGATGCCAGCCTGAGTTGGCTTATGCTTGGCGATGTTCCTTTTAGTCACTTGGGTTTGTGTGATGGCCTTGGCACATGCAGTGTCAAGAATACAGTTCCTGTATTTGTGCTCTGGCTGGTATCCCTTCCCCTTTCCATTTGGTTTCATTGGTTTTTAAAGCCAAACATATTCCATATATGTTATGGGTTGAGTTGTCTAGAAGCAGACCCTGTAATAGGAGTTCTGGTGCATGTGACTCTGAGGGAGTTATTTTCAAATACATAAAAACCTGTAAAGTTCAAGGGAGATACCATAAGGATGATAAAGGAGTCATACATACAAAGATGGTGGCCTCAGGGGTGATCAACTGTAGCTCTTGGGCCAAATCTGGAGCCACTTGATTTTGCAAATAAAGGTTTATGAAACACAGTCATGACTATTTGTTTATATATTATCTAGGGCTGCTTTCAGACTAGTGCTAGATTAGTTACAGTATAGGCTAAATGGCCTGCAAAGCCTAAAATATTTACTACCTGACCCTTTAGAAAAAAAAGTTTGACAACCCAGTCATAAACTTGACCCAATTCACAGTGAGATTTAGAGCACCCACTGCTGCATACAGTTGTCTCCACTTTGAAGCAAGTGGCTGGTCTTGGCACCTTAGTGCTCACCATGCATTGATTGCCAACCACCCCACGTGGTGAGGGTGAGATCCATGAAGTGTGTTAAGCCCAAGTTGGTGGCCCTATCAGCTGAGAGCAGCTCTCTGGATACCAGGGGCAGCTGCGAGCTTTTAGCAGTCGCCGGTCACAGCAGTGGGGAAGTGGGTGGGTGCACAAGCTGCATAAGGGGATTTTTAAGGGACCTCCTGCCTAGAGCGTAATGTGTGTCTGGATTGGTGCCAGTACTTCATGAAGCTGGGCTGAACCCGAACCATCGCCATCTCAACTATAGTCCTTGTCTCCGGTTTCATCTTGCCCATCTTTTGCTCTCAGGGTGAAGGTGGACCATCTTTGTTCCATTTTCTTCTCTCATATTCTCAGTGATGCATGGCCAGGCACAAACTCTCTTGGTTCTGAGCAGGACAGTTTCCCCCCAACTACAAGGCCCTGGCTGACTTCTTTGCCCAAACACCCCTCTAATTCCTTTTCTCTCCCACAACTAGCTTTCTTTTTTTTCCCTTTGCACCTCATCTCAAAGGACATTTCATCAAATGAACTGTTTTTTTCCTCATGAACCTCTTTTTCCTCTTTTCCCACAAATCGCCTTCCCCTCTAATGGCCAAAATGCATTATGCATGCTTTCATATACTTTATATGTCTTACGCAAGCCATAGCATACAAAATTAGCCATAGACTTTCTTCCTTTAAGAAAAATGCTATATTGTTTGTATTCTTTTGAAATTTGTCCTCACTTCGCAATAGAAGCCACAAAAACATCTCCAGTTAACATATATAGTTATTTTATTTTAATGCATTTTTCTGTTTCAAGATATTCTATCATGTATATATAGCATACAATATATGTTCAGTAATTTTAAAGAATTTCCATAGTAACAGGAGTTCAGTTTATTTTTGTGTTTTTAGTTTGTATCAGGAAATAATGCACTTGTGCAAAAATATCTCTGAACAAATAGCCATATATTCTGGTGCTTATGTCTCCGTAGGCTGGTCCCTAGAAATAGCTATTGTTTGGTAAACATATGCATGCACTTTGAATTTCAATACACTGTGCTAACTTCTTTTTTTCTGCAAGTTATAGCAGGTTCCTTGTCCATCAGGCAACAGCAGGACTTTCTTTCCCTTACACCTTTGCCATGTTGGTGTCTTCTGATCCTTTGTTTGCCAACCCCTCAGCAAAGGGATACCTTCTCGTTGTTCTTCTGACTTGCATTTCCATGCCTCTGTCTGAGGTTGAGCATCTTTCTGTACAAATATTGTTTTGATAATAAAATAGCCCCCAAACCACGGACTGGAACATGCTAATTTATGGAAGAGTAGAGATGTTTTGAGCACATACTCTGCCCTTGAAGTCACCTGTCTGGCCTCAGTGGCTTGCCAATGATAGTTATGAGTTTGGCTGTTTTGGGTACTGCTGCACACCCTTTGCTATTCTGCTGCCCAAGGGGTGTGGAGAGTTTCAGTTTCAGGGGATGTGATGATGATGGAGGTGGGTAGATGATTCTGCCTTGTCTCTGACCGTCTCTCTGTCTCTGCGATTTCAGATGCCACCCAGATGAACAATGCTGTACCCACCTCTCCTCTGCTGCAGCAGATGGGCCATCCCCATTCGTATCCCAACTTGGGCCAGATCTCCAACCCCTATGAACAGCAGCCACCGGGCAAAGAGCTCAACAAGTATGCCTCTTTGAAGGCAGTCGGTAAGGGCCTCTGCATGGATCCCTGTTTTTTTCTTTTATTTTCTCCTTCCTCTTTTTTTTTTTGGGTTCTCCTTCTAAATCTCTTTCTCTCCATTTTTTTTCACTCCTTTTTCTCTACCTCTCCTTTTATATTTTGTTTTTCTCTGCCTCTCTCTCTTTGTTCTCTTTTCTGTCTGTCTGTCTGTCTATCTATCTATCTATCTATCTATCTATCTATCAATCTATCATCTCTCATCTTTCACCTAGGTTTCTTTATATGGGACCTAGGTTATTGAGAACCTAAGCCACTTAGCTGCTTTCTCTGACCCATCTCAAGCACAAGGCAATATCATTGGACAACAGACACATTTTGAGTAAGATCTGTTTTTTGGCGAGGAGGATCTGGATGCTCATGTGGTCCCACGGACCTTCAAACCCCATCAGTATCTTCTGTCTGACCCAGCGAATTCTCAGGTGCCCAGACCTGGAATCCAGGTCTCTGAAATGCCTTGCCTTCTAGTGGGTAGCACCTGTCACCTACACAGTCCATCCCATCTCTGAGAGGTTAGTAAGCAATGCACATTCCTATCCCGGCAGCCTCTGATATTCAAGATGGAAATATTTTCTGGGCACTTTCTCCAACTGGGCACTTGGAGCTCCACAAATCGAGTCCTTGCCAAGTGTGCAACACTGTGTTAGACCTTTATGCACACAGCCTCATTGATCCAAAGAGGAAAACACACCTTATCCCAATTGTTGGATTAGGAAACAGACTCAAAGAAGCTAATTTATGCCAAATCACACAGCAGTGGGTAACAGAGCTGACCACTGAATTTGTATTTTTATTACTGCAGAGCTAAAGCTCCTCCCACTGCCCTGGTTCTTTGCAGCCCATTCCCCACTCATACTTGAGGGAGGGTGACAGCAGCCTTGACAGTGACTGAGGCTTTTGCTTCTAAAAGACTTCCACTGGATGCGAGCAGTTGCCATACTGCTTAGTGATTCCTGACCTGTGATTGGTTGTGGCAACCTCTGTTTTCCCAAGTGGGTATCTCTAACTTGTGGATTTAAATTACTAGAAACACCTGCAAAATAGATCAAATATATGTGTGCCCCAGCCCCACACTAGAGATTTTAACTGAACTGCTTGAGGAAGGGATTCAAAACTGAGCAGTCTTACTAGATGCTTCCAAAGTGGAGCAGGGCCGGGAGCCATTGATTTAAACCACCCTATCAGTCTGGCATCCAAGAAAACCAAGGCCCATTGCAAGTGCTTGCTCTGAGCTCCCTCTTCCAAGTGCTTTGCAATTGACCTGGAGCACAGGTACTACCTCCTTGTGCCTAATGTGCTTGTGGGCTGTGAATATCAGATTCATGAGGCAAGAGTGCTGGTGCCTCCCATCGGGCCAGGCACAGACTCGGTGATGAGAAGGAGCTCTTGTTCCCCATCTCCTAGGACTTCCAGATGGAGTCACTGAAAGAGGGATTGAGCCAAACTTATAACAGCAAGGTCACAGGTTGTGCAGATGGACACAGGCTTTTCTAAATTCGGAGACTTGTGTGACCTTCTCTTGCAGTTACTCACGTTTCATGCTTTATTTCCACGCCCGACTCACTGTGCTCCCAAACCACAGATTCCCTCTCTTCTATATTGCATGTGTGCATAGCATATGCGGCCTAAGCATGTTCAAATATATTCAGATATTACTAGGAAGGGACGAAAGCTGTTGCCTAGGAGAGCGAGAGTTAGACATCTTCACCGCAGTGTAACTGTGGAAGACTTCGCACAGTGTTCAGTGGCCTGCCTCCCTATCCGAGCCCTGCGGTTCAGTGATAAATGGCACCTGCTGTTATATTGGATTCCTATTTAGGTATTTAAAAATCAGCCCAGATGTCTTTTTCTTTCAGGACTGGTCACACAATCCTGTGCAGCTCATTTCTTCTACTTAGGCTCAGAGTCCCCCACGCCCAACACTCAGTACCTCTTTGGGTAAATAGCAGCAAGATATTCCAACAGGGTGCCTTTATACTTTCCAGGATTTATGCAAGGCTCTGGTAGATAACGAATATCTGCACAGCCTTTGGAATTAAATTTGCAATGTGGAAGTATATTTGACACTCTTTGTGTAACCCTTTGTTCCACAAATTGGGATTCCTGAAATGTTTATTGAATGAATGAAGGAGATTGCCTTTGACATGAATTAAAGAGTAGCTTAGTTGGAAAGAAGCATTCTTTTGTAGTTGTTGTTGTTGTTTTTGCTTTTGTTTTGGTTTGTTTTTTGACACAGGGTCTCACGATGTAGTTGAGACTGACCCGGAACTCACCATGTAGCCCAGGTTGGTCTCGAACTCGCAGTGATTCTCCTGCCTCAGCTCTCAAGTGCTGGGGTTACAGATGTGCACCACCACGTCTGGCCTTGGAAGGAACCATTCTTATATCTTCTAGAAAGGCAAAGCATCTCTCTTGTCCAAACCATCCTGGAGATGGTTGATGGAACTCTCTCCTCCTCTTTATCCTTCTTTCAGATTACTGTAGGGTGTACAGGTGCTTTAACTGAGTCACCGATGGCCTTGTGGAGCCTCCAGCAAGAGGAGCACCAGTTTTGAAGCAGGGTAAAAATGGCTTGACCTAGTGGTTACCCTGGAGTCCAGGATCAGCCTGCATCAGCATACTGCAAATCCCATAATAAATGCTCTTTTGAGGGTTCTTTATTAAGGCATAATGTGATCATGGAGTGAATGATGAAGTGCATTTCATTAGTGAAGCCATTACCACCCAGGAGAGAAGTTGTTTAGAAAAATGGCTTGCTCTTGAAAGCCTTGCAACCTCTCATAACTAGTCTCATTTCATAAAAACTTGAAGGAGTAAGGGAGAATTAGCCTCTAGGGTTAACTACTAAGCTCAAAAACTACCTCCAGAGAATAAATTTCTCTGTACAATTTAAAATCCAGAAACTGTGGTTCCTACTCGGAGGCTCCACCTTGACTCATTCTGTGCCCTTACTCAGTATGAGACATTGAGCCAGTCGCTACATGCTTGGACTTTGACTTCTTTGTGTGGAAAACAAGCCGGCCGACATGGCCCCAAACCCATTCGTATTTTAGAATTTCAAATCAAACAGTTCCACTCATTGTAGTTACTGGAATACCCATGGATTTTTGCTTGTTTCCTGCCAGTGCTGCAGGAAAAAAGAAAAAAGATTTGAAGAAGGGGTGCTAAAGTTTGGATGGATGTTCCTGAGACACATTCTCCCCAAACTCACGCTATTTTATTGTTTTATTTTTGTTGGCTTGTTTGAGGTCACCCTCGCTTGCGGTTACAGAGGGCTCTTTTCTCTTTCAACTTCAGGGATCTGGGAGTTTGTGGCTGCAGAATGGTCTCTTGTTTTCACGGGGCTCACTGCCGAACTGTTGGTAAAAGAGCACACAGTAGGGAAACGTCAGGGTTAAACTGTGTAGAACTTTACAAGAAGGGATGTTGAGGGTGAGTTGTCATTCATTCATTCTCCAAACATTGAATCTGGTGTCCCATTGATTATAGATCCCATGGACGTATGGACCAGATCGATCCTGGTTGTCAGTGTATCCCTGGAATATAACACCATTTGGGGGTCCCTAGTATGCACTTCTGTCCCTATCTGTGAGGCCAGTGAACTCTACCATGTGGAAGGTACCGCATCAAATCAAGAGCCTGACGTGGTCAGGAAGAAGGCAGAAACATAGCACCGCCTCTGACATTGGTCAGGACTGAGTTTAGTACCCAGCTAAGACATTATCAAGTCATTGCAGAAATTACCTAGTCCTCAGGTCTCACTTTCCCTATTTGTAAAATGAAGATAATAATAACATGCCACTAATGGCTTAGAAAAGCCAATGATATAAGCAGGGAAAGTTCTTACCTTGGCACGTAGTAAATTATGAAGCATACTAAACTCTCCAGACCACAGTCATTTGTTGGTCATATCATTCCTCTAATTTGCAAGATATACTGGTAGATTAACATGCAGTGGCCCAAATTTCATTTCTGAGGGAGAAAGAATTAGATCTGTATTCTTCCCTTCAGTGTAAGAAAGACATAAATGAAAGTTGGCTCACACTGGGGATCTGATCAAATAAACAAGAAGAAAAGAAAAGAAAAAAAAGCAAATTGCTTTTCTGAGAATCTCAGGACTCAGCAGAGTCAGCCCAGATCTCTTCGCATTCTCCATCTGTAGCCTGGACAGCGAAGGTCCAGATGTGTAAATGTTACAATCCATCAAAGAAAGGTTCCATGCTGCTCAGTTGACTCTCCTTACTAAGACGACCACGAGGGTTTACGCATTTTGGAAACGTTTTCCACTGAGGTCAGAATTGAGAAATGCATCTTGTTGTAGAGTAACCAACCCAATGTGCAGCTGGAAGACTTGATTAAGCACTCACATTCCCTTACCTGTGCTGCCCAGGCAATGAGTAGTTATAGCGGGAGAGCCACTTGCAGGACTTTAAGTCAGTCCCTTCCCCTTCCTTTCTGTACCATGGGCTCATTCTCCTTTCACATGAGCATTTTCACCCAATTAAATATCTGCCTGAAGTCCACTATTGGCACCGGGTATGTAGCGGGGACTTAAGTATATGTTTGGTAGCACGTGTACTTTCTTATTAATGACCCTTATTGCCATTGGGTTTATGGAAGAAAAGTGTTACTGCCTTGTCAGAGCTATGCCCTGTCTTAGGTTCTAGGGACAGAGGTGACAAAGGAGTTACTCCTGCCTTCAAGGCAAAGAATGATGGATTGATTTGGGGGTGGGATGATGTCCTTGCAGTCAGTGACTCAGTGATTGGTCCCTCTGTATTCACCAGCACAGAAAGATCGGGAGCTGTATCACTATTTCCAGATGACCAGGGCTCTGGGGGAGAAGCAGCATCAAGTCATCCCAGGCAGATCCCCCTCACTTTTAACCTCATCACTCTTCTCCTGCCACCCCAATTTTTCCCCTTTGTTGTTAGTGATGAGGGCATAGGCCTCGGATTCACAGGAAATGGGCAATTTGAACATCCTTTGGCATGCCCGGGAGGCCAATCGGAAATGTTTAAATGGGGCCGGATCCGTGTTCCATAATCATTCAAATCACAGACTGTTCCCTGCACCTCCTCTGAACCATCTCTGGAAATAGTGCAGACAGTGTGGAGGACTTGGTCTTTCCAGGGAGATTCCTAAGAAAGGAAAGGGGAGCTAGTAGTAGGACTTGTTGACTGGCCAGTCCCCCAGGTAATGTGGAGAGATCATTATGTGTAGAGTGGCCCAGGTTTAAATAAAACCCAGTCTTACAGAGAGGGAACATCAGGGGAAGGAGGTTGTATAGATGGGTTCCTTCTCATCTGCCTTTATTTTATAAAACAGTCAATGTGAGATTCTGTTAATAATATGAGATTCTCCTAGGGCTTATTCAGTACATCTGAAAGGGAATTCAATTTGGAGAAAGTGATTTGTAACAAAAATTCCAGGCATACATCTGTCCTGTAAAGCAATGAATGATTCATTATGGGATTATCAAGTAACAAGCTTGATCCATTCAGTGTTTAGGGGAATTTCCATACTTTGGGTAGAGTGACCCTTTGGAGAAAATTGGATCCATGTATTCGTTTAACAATATTTTTCAAATATGGATTTGATGCTAGGCACGATGGTACCAAACCCTATTCCACCCAGCATTTACAGTCATAGCCAGGGGAATCTGTCCCAAACCTGAACTTGGAACTTGCATTTGGAATAATATGTTACCCCCGCTTGGTGGGGGGGTTGCAATTAAACAGCGTCAAAATTTATCTCTTGTTATACGAGTTTAGTCATCAAAGTAACTCACATGTTCCTCTTTTGTAGCAAGTTAAAATTATGAGCCAGATTTACTGCCTAAGAATTCTCACTACGTTGTATGACTGAAACGATCGGAGCTTTTTCAGGGGACTTCATTTGATCTCGCGTTAGGTGTTAACACAGTTTTTCTTCCCGGCCTCCCGGTCAGGCACACAGAGTTGCCGTTCATACTCGGCTTCCCTCTGTTCCCTGGGTCCCCTGAGGGCCGCCCCCTTAAGGGTTGCAGCTGGGGTGGCAGTGCTGGGTGAGAGGGGATAACACAGATCAGCATCTCTCGATTGTTATTTTTTAGGAAATTCTGATGGTGACTGGACAGTGGCGACACTTAAGTCACCAAAAGGTACCGTACGGCCTTTTTTGCCTCTTTTGTCCAGGTGTTGTCAAATTTAATATTAAATAATGGAGCAACAGAGAGTCCCAGTGTCTGTATATGACCCAGTATACATTTGTGTCTGCGTTGGGTGGTGTCTGCAAGTCTAAGTTCCAGTGTATAGGTGTGTGTGTGTGTGTGTGTGTGTGTGTGTGTGTGTGTGTGTGTGTGTGTGTACATGTCTATTTGTGCCTGAGTATGGTCTGTCTACGCTCTGGGCAGTTGCTGGACCATGTGCTACCCCTTGCTTCCCAATATTTGTTGCTTGAAGGAAAATTCTTCCAGCAGAAAACATCCCAGGTAAGAAATGCAAGAATTTTTCCTTTTTTTTTCTCCCCCTCTCAGAAAGTTACAGAAGCAAAATTGGGTAACACAGGGTACATTAGTGGGAGGGACACAACTTCTGATGGAGACGTAAATATGATCAAGTTGTTGACTAAAAGTCGGGGGAATGATTAGCCTTCTAGGGAACAGAATGCTGCTTTCTACTTTCCTAGGCAGAGTGGTGAAGAGCAGAACAAGAAGTTAGCAGACTTGAATCTGTGAGGTAACTAGCTGGGTGATTAGGCCAAGTGGTAGCTATAGTTAATTCATTCCCTCCTGTGTGCCAGCGTTCTGGTCCTTCATATCCGTGTCACTTCATTCCCCAGTGATTTGACTGTGTAAGCATTGCCATTCCCATGGAGAGACAAGTTCTTGAGGGCGGAGGAAGGGTAAGTTACACGTCTTAAGTTTAAGCAGCTGCTCAACGGTTGCTCTGCAGTTCGAACTCATGACTGTCCAATAGCTAAGCTACTTTTCACTAGGGGCCAATGGGAGAAGCTCTTTTCTGGACAGGCCAGCAGCACCTCTGATTCTTCCTTCTTTATGTTTTCCTGGGTTCAGTAGTAGAAAGAAAGCAGCTGACCTGAGGAGGTGGAGGTAGAACTCATGAGTGACCTGGAGCTGAGGGAGTTTAGGAGACAAAGCTCAATTCCAGGCGTGGTATTGGCGCGACCATCTTGCCTTCTCAGAGGAGCATTCTGCCTTCCAAGAGAAGAGTGAGTCAGGAAAGTGGCTGGAATTGGGGGCACCCACTCGGAGGCTTTTGTAGGCAAGCAGTAACCTGCACTGGGCCGGGGGGGAAATTGGAGTGGAGACGTAACTGGGAGGCTGCAGAGGGCATGGGGGGGTGATGGGGAGGAGCCACCGACAGACTCATGGTGCTCACATCGGAGCCCCGGGAGCACACCAGCGTCACCTGGAGGATTGTTCAAAACTAGATTTCTGGGCTCTACCTAGGAACTTCAGCTTCACTAGGCCTCGAGGAGAGCGCCAAGAATTGAGTTGCTGTGGGTCCCCACAGTGATGCTGCTGCTTGCTCATCCGGGGACCACATAGTACTTTGCAGATCCCTGCAGTAGAGAAATCATTCTGGGAGACGAAGCCATTTTCTCTGCGGTTTCTCTGAGTTCTGAAGAAGGGAGTTTGACCCGGGCCCTAGAGGTTCGGAAGCACCTGGGCTCATGGATGGGGCTTGGGTGGGAGGAAATAATGTCCCACAGTGGGAAAGAGAGCTTTAGATCCACATGTTTAATGAGAATCCCCCGACTACCCAGTCTCTGTCTAGATAGAGACAGGTTGTCGGGTCTTGCATTAGATAATAAGTGTTCGCATGTCAAAGTCCATTTTTAGAAATGTAAACACAATTTGGAACATGACAGACCTACTAATTTGAGAGGCATAAAAATTTTTTTTCCTCTCCTGTGAAAAACAAAGCCATTAGGATCCTGTGACAGCCTTTGGAGTCAGTCTGCATCTCTGTCCTTAGATTAGCCAGTTGTCTGATACATTTAGAAATATTTCAGGACAGGTCAAAAGCAGAAAGAAAAAAAAAAAGGCTTTGAAAGCTGTTTTCTGTCCACACTAGTCTAGCTTCACATGTCCAGCTAAATGCACCCTTATTTATTTTGCTTTGTCTGCAGAGGGAAAAAAGGGGTCCAGAAAAGGCCAGGACCAATTATCTTTGAGGTCATTGGTTTTTCTGTAGTGCTGACTACTAACCCGCAGGCCCTGAGACCAGGTGAAGCACAGTAACAGAGCTGGAGGGCTTTGCATGGTCCTGCCACTTTCTTTAAATGGAAGAAACAAGTTGGGTCTGGTGGGCCCAGATACAGATTCTTCTGAATTCTGATTCTGGCTCCAGCATTTACTTGACTTGTTCCCTTCCACAACTCATTCAACCTCTCTGAGCCCCTATTTTCTGACTTGAAAAGTGCAGACAGTGATACCACCTGCCTCCTAAATTATTGAGAAGTCGTGATGTTTAGAATATGTGTCCAAGTACATAGCACAAGGAAAGTGCTAAGTGCGTGCCGGTTATTGTATTATTTCGGCATTGCTATCAAGCCAGCAAAATCCTGTGACCTCTCACCCCCCAAATTCTCTAGTAACAAAAACTGGCAAACTCCATTTAACTCAAAATTTTGCAAGTGTTTTTGACATCAGGTCTCTTTTCTCTTAAGGCAAACCAGTGAAGGTCTTCATAGCCACTGGCACAAATGTGCTTGGGGCCCACTTGGAGAGCATCAAACATTAATGAAGAAGTAGATGAGGAGAGGTCATCCTGTGGAGACTGGATGAGGGGGCAGCTGTGAGGACAAAGTCCTGCACATACAAGTTTTTTGATGCTACTTGCATTGACTGATTCACTTTTTTAAATTGAGTTTATTGGTACGTTTTTAGGTATACAGTACGGTTACATTCATTATTGGGATCTTGTAAATTTACATGACAGGTCTTGGTTCTCATTTTTTCCCCTTGTCCCTGCCCTCCCTTCATCCCCTCCTCCTCTCCCCATTTACAAACACTTTATTTCCATTTTTTTCATTTTCTCATGGTTTTTCCCTTATTGCCTTTCCCCTACCCTTCCCACTTTCCCTACACCTTTAGCCCTTTTCTTACTATTTCACATTGTCAGTTATCTCATTAGGATCTTATGTACTATTATAGTTTTTCACACCAGAGAAACTATTCAGTATTTACACGTGTGACTTATTTATTTCACTTAGGCATATATCCTTAGTATGTATCCATTTTCCTATGAATGACTCTAATTTCTCATTCTTTATGGCTGAGTAGTATTCCATTTTATAGAAAAACCACTTCTTCTTTCTCCAGTTTCCAACTGATGGGCAAATGGGCTATTTCCAAGTTTTAACTATTACAAACTGTGCCTCTATAAACATAGGTGTGCATATATCACTGTGATATGATTCTTTTAATTCTTCTGGAAAGATACACAGCAGAGGGATGGCTGGGTCAAATAGAACCTCTAGTCCCAGCCCTTTGAAGTATCTCCATCTTCATTTCCATAGTGGTTCACTGCTGAATTTTATAAGACATTTAGAGAAGAACTACTGCCATTACTCTTCAGACTTTTCAATGAAGTTGAAAGGGAAGCAGTACTTCCAAATTTACTCCTGGAAGTAAGTATCACTTTGATTCCCAAACCAGGGAAAGATGCAACTAAAAAAGAGAACTATAGGCCAATCTCTTTAATGAATATAGGTGCAAAAATACTTAATAAGATACTAGCAAACAGAATACAGAGGATCATCAAGAAGATCATATATCCTGACCAAATCAGATTTATTCCAAGTATGCAAGGATGGTTCAACATATGTAAGTCAATAAATGTAATACACTATATTAACAAAGTCAAGGAGAAAAACCATATGATCCTCTCAGTAGATGCAGAAAAAGCATTTGACAAAATTCACAACACATTCATGATAAAAACCCTGCAAAAAATTGGAATAGATGGTCTATATCTCAACTTAATAAAGGTTATCTATGAAAAACCAACAGCCAACATCATATTAAATGGCCAAAATCTGAAAGCCTTCATGTTAAAATCAGGAACAAGACAAGGATGCCCACTATCACCACTCCTCTTCGATATAGTTCTGGAAACATTAGCCATAGCAATTAGACAAGAGAAAGAAATTAAAGCAATAAAGGCAGGAAAGGAAGAAGTTAAACTGTCATTATTTGCTGATGATTTGATACTCTACACTGAAGACCCCCCAAAAAAACTCTACCAAAAGACTTCTAGACTTAATTGACACTTTTAGCAGAGTAGCTGGATGCAAGGTGAACACCCAAAAATCAATAGCCTTCTTGTACACAAATAACAGACTCACTGAGAGAGAAATTAGGGAAACAATTTCTTTCACAATAGCATCCAAAAAAAAATGAAGTATCTAGGAATCAATCTAACGAAAGAAGCAAAAGACCTCTACACTAAAAACTACAGCACTCTGAAAAAAAGAGATCGAAAAGGATATAAGAAAATGGAAAGATATCCCATGCTTCTGGGTAGGAAGAATCAACACAGTGAAAATGGCCATACTACCAAAACTGCTATACAGATTCAATGCAATGCCAATTGAAATGCCAACACTATATTTCACAGAACTAGAAAAAAGAGTCCAGAAATTTATTTGGAACCATAAGAGACCTAGAATAGCAAAAGCCATCCTAGGCAACAGAGACATGGCAGTGGGAATAACAATTCCCAATTTGAAACTATGCTACAAAGCCACTGTGATAAAAACAGCATGGTACTGGCAAAGAAACAGACCTGAGGATCAGTGGAACAGACTGGAAGACACAAAAACAATTCCAGATGTACTCAGCTATGTCATCTTTGGCAAAGGAGCTGACCATCCCCACTGGAGGAAAGATAGCCTCTTTAATAAATGGTGTTGGAAAAACTGGATCTCAACCTGCCAAAGATAAAAAATAGACCCTTATCTTTCACCATGCACTAAATTAAAATCCAAGTGGATTAAAGATTTAAATATTAAAACAAATAGTAAACTTGCTAGAAGATAAGTTTGGCAGAACTCTTGAAGATATTGGCATAGGAAAAGACTTTATGAACAAATCCTCAGTAGCAGGGGAGCTAGCAGAAAGAATCAACAACT